GCATCGAGCTTCACCCTTCTATTGTCAGGGACATGAGCATGTGCAATGCAACCAAAAATCCTGAAATGATCCACAAATGGTTTGTGTCTATTCCAAGCCTCCTCCGGTGTTTTGTTCTTTACAGCAAGAGTAGGGCATCGATTTAACACATGCACCGTCCAATTCACCGCTTCAGGCCAGAAAGTTTTAGGGATTTGTTTTGCTAACAGCATGCTTCGCACCATGTTCATGATGGTGCGATTCTTCCTTTCTGCAACCCCGTTCTGTTGGGGAGTATAAGCTGCAGTTAGTTGCCTGTGAATTCCATTCTCAAGACAGAAGTTTGCAAACTCATGCGAGATGAATTCTCCTCCTTGATCTGTCCTCAGACTTCTTATAAATACTCCAGTCTCTTTTTCAGCCCGTGCCTTGTAGGATTTGAATACGCCAAAAGCTTATGACTTTTCTACCAAAAAATAAACCCATGTTTTTCTACTGAAATCATCAATAAACGTAATAAGATACCTCTTATTGCTGTTTGAAGTAGGGTTTATTGGCCCGCATATGTCTGCATGAATCAGTTGAAGGATCTCGGAGGCTCTCCATAGGCTTTCTTTGGGAAATGGATCTCGATGCTGTCTTCCTACCAAACAATCTTCACACACCCTTTGAGAGGCTATGAACTGAGGCAATCCTCTCACCATGTTCTTCTGTTGTAGTACTTTCAGCCCGTTCCAACTGAGATGCCCAAAGCGACGGTGCCATAGGTTTGCTGGATTTGTGGTGAGAGAGGAAAAACACTTTTGTTCCTTTGGAGAACAGCGAGTCAACACTGCAAACATTCGATTGTGACTCATCGTGGTTTCTATAATTAATCCTCTCTCAGCGTGAAAGATCTTGCATTTTCCATGTTGAATGAGCACTGTAAGCCCATTCTCTTGCAACTGACCAATGCTCAACAAGTTGTTTCTCAAATCTAGCACATAGAAAACATCTGTGATCACATGTATGATGTCGTTCACCTCCATTCGCACACTTCCCTTGCCTTGCACAGTCAAACTTGAATCATTTCCCAACTTAATTGATTCTCTGAAACTGTCATCAAGCTCACAAAATAGGTCCTTCTTGCCACACATATGGTTGCTGCACCTGGAATCCAGAAACCATATGTGCTCCATTGTTGTCTCCTTGATATCCACGAGTGCCATCAGCAGCATCTCTTCCTTTGTCTCCACAAAGTTTGCTTTCTCTTCCTTGGATTTCTTAGGGCACTCCCACTGAAAATGCCCTAGTTCATGACAATTATAGCATTCTAGGGTTGACTTGTCAAACCCTCTACCCCGTCCTCTTCCTCTTCCTCGAAAGGTTCCTCGTCCTCTCCCTCCTTGCTGGACTCCATGAGTGACTTGGAGAGCCTGTTCATCTACCATATGTCGGCTGATCATTTGCTCGTGGACCAGTAGACTGCTTTGAAGCTCATCAATGGATAAAGTGTCCAAATCGTTAGATTCCTCAATGGAACAAACCACATAGTCAAATTTTGAAATCATGGATCTCAAAATTTTCTCTATGATTACCAAATCATTCATCTTCTCCCCATGAGTCATCATCTTGTTTGCTATGGCAAGTGTTCTCCCAAAATAATCATTGACTGTTTCTCCATTCTTCATATGGAGTACCTCGAATTCCTTGCGCAGAGCCTGCAACTGAGCACGTTTTACACGTGCAGTTCCTTGATACTTTTGCTTCAAGAAGTCCCATATATCTTTTGCAGTATCCTTCTTCAGGATAGTCTCCAATATTGATCGATATATGGCTTGAAACAAATAGTTCTTCGCCTTCAAGTCCTTCAACTTCAGTTCATCCAGAGTCTTCTTCTGTACTTCACTGGATTCTGACCCTTCTGCTGCAGCAGTAATCCCATTCTCCACCAGGTTCCAATACTCTTTGGAACGAAGAAAGTTTTCCATCAGCATACTCCAATGGTCGTAATGACCATCGAACCTTGGAATAGCTGGTTGCACGAAACTGTTCTCGGACGCCATGTTTGTTTCTTCACTCTAGCACCTAGGTTGCAAGCTATTGATCAGGCCCCGTATCGGGGCTCTAATACCAGATGTTAGAACCAAAGAACAAACACAAGAGTTTCTGCAATGTAACACTAGAGAGCTTTCACAATTCAGGGAGAATTCTAATTTGATTGAATAACATTTGTGGCTATTAAATAGCCTTACAATGAAACTGAAAAGACATAACAACTGCCCACGATTTTACAGCTCCTGGGATCGTGGTAAAGACTACGTCAAAACAGAAAATGCATACTTGTCCCTTAAGAATAGGGATTATTGAATAACAACCCTAAAAGCTAGGAACCCTAGCAATAACAGAAAACCCTAATAACTTTAACAACTCCAACTTAATCAATCATCTGCATCTCCATCCGCAACAAACTCGAGGCGATGAGGTTGATGTGTTGCATCTCCATTGTTAATATTTTGTAATGTTCTAAGTAGATGCAAACCTGAATTATGTATCAAAAATCCTCAAATTCCAGTTCAGTTAGTAATTCTAATCTATGATAATTCAACCCAATTTCATAAATCTACCAAAGAAACTTATTCCTTTGCAAAATAATTTTCTGGGTATGCCTCAATTCAGTTTCGTTGGCCCTACATCTCAACCGGGTCAGCCAAATGTTGGGTTTTAAGTGCGCAAAGTAAAGGGCAAGGAATAAGCTCGAATGGGCAATTATGGTCAATCATAGGATTTTAACCACTTGCAAAAGTAGGGATAAAAACATTTAAAATACTTACAAGATAACAAGGTAGTTGTAGTATAAACAGCTTAAGTAATGTTTTTTCCACATTAATTATTTAAAACAATTTATGCAAAACCAAAATCTTAGTTAATTATTTAAAAACAAAGATTGGAAAGGGTTGTTTTTTTAATTTAAATATAACAAAATCGGATTTAATAAAAATAATTTAGGAAAGACAACTAGTAATCAATTAAGAAGAAATCATATCAAAAAGAAAAGGTTTTGAGAAATAAATTTGGAAAAGAAAAATAAATAAAAATTTGGAAAAGCACTAGAGTTTTGCCATCCCCTTAACAATCCTATGTAGATTTACTAATTACTTATGAATTACCCATGCAACTTTGAAGGTTAGGTTTTCCTAATGTATATTCTACTTGTGGCATTCAAGCTAGAACGTACATCAAACATGCAATCAGTCTATGACATTCAGATCAAATATAAACATGCATGACTCATTACGCTTTGTGAAAATCCTTTAAAAAACAATGCAACCCTTAAGACATGACATTTGCCATAAGTGAAATTACAACTATCAATCACAAGAAGCAATACTCAATCCTCCGGTGGCATTCCAACTGAATTGCATCCGATTACTTATCTAAACATGCTAATGGTAGCTAAGCATTAAAATATAGAGATGGTTTAAACACAGTGATTAATAATTCAAAGTATGCATGCATAACATCATAAGCAATTAAAATATTTATGCTAAGGTTCAAGACATCGTCTTAGCAGACGGAAATTAGTTACGAACAACCATAAAACAAAATATTATTGAGAACATGGATAAAAAAAACACATTTTAGGTAAAAAGTCAAATAGTACCTCCATTCCCTCCCTAATGGCTAAAAAGCCTTATTTATACTACTACAAAATAAAACCTACCTAGGAAAGGTCTTAGAATAAAACTATGAAACAAAATAAAATAAGATAACTAGCAAATAAAAGGTTTCCTATTTGAATTGAAATTCAGACTTCTCAGAAAATCAGACTTATGACCGACCAAATCAACTCTGATTTGGTCCCATAATGTCATTTTTTTTTTCTTTTTGTTTAAAGCTTGAGACGTCCCTAACAAATCCTTAGAATGAATCTTCCTCAAAATACGTCATCTTAACCTTCAAAATACCAAAAACGTCCAGAAACATCAATTCGGGAAAGCTACGCGTTGGACTTTCTTTTCTTCGCCACAGTCAAATGGTTTGGTAGAAAAATCTGGAATTTTGATACAATCATCTTAAAAGACTCATGAACATCCTGCAATTAGAATCACTCTAAAATTCCACCATTTGATTACGTTTTGCTCAAGAGGAAGTCAAATGTCCTACATTGAAAATATAATCCAAAGTATCAAAATCTCACAAAATAACCAATAAATTAATACTAAGATTAGGGTAAAATATATAGTATAAAAGTGACTCATCAACTCGGCTTGTTCTTCGTCGGCGTAGGAGAAAGACATCAAGATGGTAATCGGCATGCTCGACTCTAACGCGGTGGAGTATTTGGTGGCTATTATAGAATATTTATTAAGGATTTCTCTCAAATAGTCATTCCCATGACCAAGTTAACACATAAGGGAGTTAAATTTATTTGGATTGATGAATGTGACACTAGTACAAAAAACACTTTGCGCAACGCAGGTCCTTCGTCGCGCAAAACTTTGCCCAACGAACCTTCGTCGCGCACAAACCGTTGCGGCAAGACAGTGACAGAAGGCTTTGCGCGACGCATGTAACCCCTTCGTCGCGCAAAGACACTTTGCGCGACGCAGTTTGCGCGACTCAACATACGTCGCGCAAGTGTCTTTGCGCGACGCAAGTAAACCTTTCGTCGCGCAAAGCCACTTTGCGCGACGCATTTTGCGCGACTCAACCTACGTCGCTCAAGTATCCTTACGCGACGTAGATATGGTCGCGCAAAGTGTCTTTGCGCAACGCATGTTGCGAAGTTGCGCAAAGATACTTTGCACGACGCAGTCTACGTCACGCAAAGATACTTTGCGCAACTTAGGAACATGCTTTGCACGACGTATCGTATGTCGCGCAAAGTGGATTTTTGGTTTTGGTAAAAAATATTACTTTCTTAATTTTTAATAATATTGTAATTAAATTCTAAATAATAATTAATTAACCAAAGAAAAGTATTTAATTATACAATATATGAAAATGTACATACAAGATGTCCGAATAAAAAAGAAAAAACTACAAGTAATCTTCTAGGTGAAGTGGCTACTGGGTATCGGCAGGGTGAAGTGGCTCGGAGGTTGAAGGTGTAGCAAGATCAGGTATTGGTAGCGAGATTTGGAGGCTGGTCATCTGTATGGCTCGTATAAGATCTCTCACCTGTCCGGCATAAGTATGCAGCTGCTCGCCCTGGGCCCTTATCTGCTCCTTCATCTGCTCGCCCTGGGCCCTCATCTGCTCGCCCTGGACCTCAAGCTGACCCTTTAGGGTTATCACTTCCTCCTTCAATGAATCGACCTCTGTGGTGTTCGATCTGGAAGAAGAAGCACCAGTCTCACGAAGTCGTGCTTTCCCCATGCACCGAACAACCTTGCCGTGACGACGACCGAAGTTCTGATCCAGGACATCAATTAGGATCTGAAAACCTGCATCCTCAGGTACCGTGACGTCCTCAATTGGGGTCTCTGGGGGAAGCTGCGATGTTGCTTCTTGGAGAACAGTAGTGCTCTTTTCCACCATAAGAGCCTGTAATAATAAAGAAAAAACATATATATAAATAATATTTGAACGATTCATACATATAAGAATAATAACAATTACATATACTTACATGAAGCTGCCCAGCGGTCTTATCTCCAGGTCGAACGTAAACGTCCTCGAACATGTCGATCTCTGGGAACTTAGAACCCTCCTGAAGAAAGAAAAAAAACACTAAGAAAATTTTATTAATCAATAATAATAAATAAATTGTATAAAATTTCTAAATTAATATACTTTTACCTGACGTCGTGTCTGAAGCCTATATGAAAAGGGCTTCGAACCGGAATGGTGGAGAAGTGTCTTTGACTCCCGAGCTATCTTGCCAGCAACAGATTTCTTCTGTTAAACACACAATATACATGTTAATGCGACTATTTGAAATAAATTAATAAAAAAAGCTTTAAAAAATAACTAAAACAATAATAAATTATTATTCAAATATTATGCACATACCACAAATTTTGGGTCCGTAAAATGTTTGCAAAGCCATTCCCAATCCTCTGGCCGATCCTTCAACTCGGTTGGGCAACCATGTAGGCGAGCTATCTCCGGAGTATCCCATAGCTTAAAATGCATGTGAGGATAGTTCTTCCAATGTTTGTACCGGATTGCTAAGGTCTCGTCTAAGTAGGCCTTGACCTCGGGGGATATATCATCAAGATCAAAAATTACCTACGAATATGAAAAACAATAAAATAATAGTAAGAAATATAATAATATTAAGATAATATATTTTGGTTTTTAATATTTGTAAACAAAACTAAAAAAATGATATTGAATCCGAATTTGTTTATTTAGATGAAGAAAAGAATGCAAGAATCGGAAAAATAATTTATGAACCCAATGACATTCATGAACAAGCAACTCAGACATGGCATAAAGTACAAGATTATAATAAACAAGAATCGATAAGATTAGCTTATGAATTTGAAAAAGAAACAGAAGAGTTAATTTCAAAAATTGATGAAATAGATCAAAATGAATTAAATAACCAGATAAAAGAGTTGGATGATTTAATTTCATTACTAGATTCGATACATACCTAAGTAATCCAGTGAGTCAAAATGAATATACAGAACATCAAGAAGAACAATACTTTTATGCAGAACCAAGTAGTTAAAGGTTAAAAATTAATATACTAACCGACAACTTGTCTCGCACCAAATCCTTCGTCCAATCTGGAATTTCTGCCCACTTGTCCCACTGCATAGGACAATTTTGTTTAATAACAACACCACAGCTACTAGCGACGATGCTATGTTGTTGTACTGTAGCCGCTCCACGATGTAGTGGGTCATACTCAATCTTGATCTTGGAGCCAGTTAGACGTACACTCTGTGACGGCTCCAGCATTCAACTAGGCCCCCTAGTTTTTTTTTTAGCTGGCCAAAAATACTTAAATGGTGAAAACCTAAAGCTTAAATTTGCACAAAAAATTCAACACAACTTCCCTTAATAGTATAGCATTTCCCAAAACCTTAAAACAGTAAAATAACAATAATTCACAACCCAAAACACATTTTCACAATCCAACAAATTTTTAGCATCATAAAAATAATAATTTTAAAATGACAAAAAAAAATACAACGTAGTCATCAAGAATTAGAAAAAACCTACCTGGATGGGAGGACTCACCCTCGACTCTGGATGCTGCGGAAGTGTGATCAGAAGGGTCCGGCTCACGGCGACGTCAGTGAAGCCGCCGTGAACTGAGCGGGTGAACGGATACTGATGACGTCGATGAGACAGGCACTTGGGACACCATAGGAGTAGCCTCAGTAAGGGGTGTAGGCTCCCCATTCAATGGAGCACTCACGCCTGGAGCAGTAGATGCTAATAATGTGGGAGGCGCATTGGTCACGCTCCGACGATGAGTGATCAAATGCGACATCTATACACTTTTTGAATCATAAAATTGTAACATTAGAAACTATTCAATTAGCATCCAAAGTAATAAGTAGGTTACCAACACTCTTAATTTCAAAACAAGTACGGGCAATGTATATTTAGATTGAGCAAGTAACAAATTATATGCAACAACCTTATGAACAACCCTGATCACAAAAAATTATTGTATGTGCTTGTGTATATGTGTGTGGATCAACAATTAGATACACAAAATAAATGTGTTTGTTGTATGGCTGATATTATTCATTTGCAATTTGCCAATGTCTAGTGATTCACTTCTTGTCAGCTACTATCCAGAGATATCAATGGCAAGCACCAACTTTTACTTGTCCTAGAGTTGATACTTCATTTTATTTCAAGGAAAAAGGTGATACTTGTCAGCTACTGTCCAAAGATATCACTGGCAAGCACCAACTTTTACTTGTCCTAGAGTTGATACTTCATTTTATTTCAAGGAAAAAGGTAATACAAAAAGAGGATGACAACAAAGAAGAAACAATATCTTCGCCAATATGAAGAATCAAAACAAAAAGCTAAAGCACATAAGTTTACATTATTACAGATGACATTAATCTACAGAAAAAGGTCAAATTTAAGTCATTTTTCGGTACGAGGGATGAAGACTCAAATTCAAGTCTTACTTTCGGTGTTCTAGTTATGTAGTTAAGAATTTTGATATCAAGCAAAGTAAGAAACCCATTAACCCATTTAAAAAGCAGAACTTAAATTACTGATATGGTTAAACTAATCAAACTATTATAAAAATTAAAACAGAACAAGAAATGGAAATTCCAAATTGCAGTGGCAAACATTTTGCAATCCATCATCCAACCAACTAACAGGGGAAATTGACAAAAACCCATTGGACTAAAAACATTAGAATACTGCAGATTCATTTCAACAATGCTCAAATGACATCACCAAAAAACCAATTTGACAAAAACCCAACATGCAATTTGAGCCTAAACCCTAAATAACCAAAACCCATCGAAAATCAGAAACCCTCACCTTGATTTTGGGACTTAATTTGTGTCGGCTTCGAGTTTGGCGTCGCTGCCTTGCAAACGAGAGGGAGAAAGATGAGTCTTAAAAATCAAATTCGGATTCAATATATGGGAAAGAGGGAAAGAGGGAAAAAGGGAAAGAAAGAGGGAAAAAGGGAAGAAGGAAAGAGGGAAAGAAAGAGGGAAAAAGGGAAGAGGGAAAGAGGGTTTATACGGGAGGGAAAGAGGGAAAGAAAGAGGGAAAAAGGGAAGAGGGAAAGAGGTTTATACAGGAGTACGGGAAAGAGGGAAATAAAGAGGGAAATAAAGAGGGAAAGAGGGAAAGAGGAAAAAGGGAAACAGGGAAACAGGGTTTTTACGGGAAAGAGGGAAGGAAAGTGGTCTATTAATTATATGGGAAAGAGGGAAGAGGTCCACATTTAGGAAAATTTAAAAAATGTGCCTATTTTTCACTATTGGACCGCCAAAATTATCATAACTTGCGCGACGTAGGTATACAATTTGACGTCACGCAAAGTGCTTTTGCGTGACAGTCATGTTAAGGCGTCGCGCAAGGTAATTTTTTTTTTCAATTATTATAAAAATTACTGAAAATATGACTTTTTTCAAATTCAAAATTTTTTTACATATACCCCACAATAATATATTTTTCTAATAAAAACCCACAATAATTTTTTTTTACATATATATTTTTCAATTTCTTAAGTGTTATAATTTGAATTAGAATTTAGGGTCAATCAGCATTTTTTTTGGCGCATTATGAGTTATGTGGGATCGTTTAAGTTTATGCATGTTGTTTAATTAGTTCTTAATTTGTTTCGAGTTTTGAATTTGCATCGATTTTATCTAGGCATCAGTTGCTTTGATTGAATATTTACTTGAAATGGTTCAAATTGTTTTACCCAACTTGAATTGTGGATTTGTTGCTTCAAAAGCACTCGATTTGCATCTTTTTGCTTTGAGAATTTTCTTAGACTTTTGTTGCTCTCGGTTCAGACTTGAGCGCTATCGAGTAGAAGAATTTGTGGAAGAATGTTCATTTAGTCTACTCAACTTACTTAGAATTAGGCAACTTAAATGAGACAAGCAAGATTTTTGTGATGAGTTGATGCAATGTACTTGTTAACTGGTTTCCTTCAATTTTTCTTAGTTATACGAGCTAGTGGTGCAACCCAGAGGTCCTTTATATGGTGTTGTAGATTTTTGATCAAATTCTGGTAGAAAGTGTAATTCTTACTGTTGGGTGTTCACTATTTGCCTACATATTTCTTGTCGTCAAAGTCACCAACAGAGCTCAATACAACGTCACCATCCACTGGTAACTAACAACATGTTTCTTATGTTGTCTAACAGTTACATAAGAAATTAAAAATTATCTACTCTTCACTTTCTCATAAAAAATAAACATTTCATGCATAGGATTAGGCAAATGAGAACTAGATGGGCAGATGGGCCAGAATTTGTGACTCAGTGCCCAATTAGGCCAGGAGGGAGCTACACCTACCGCTTTACAATTCAAGGGCAAGAAGGTACTCTGTGGTGGCATGCTCACAGCTCATGGCTTAGAGCCACCGTTTATGAAGCACTCATCATTCATCCTAAACAAGGAGACTCCTACCCCTTCACGAAATCGAAAAGAGAAACAACCCTTCTTCTCGGTGAATGGTGGAATGCTAACCCTATCGATGTCTTCAGGCAGACGATGATGACAGGAGGAGCTCCAAATGTTTCTGATGCATACACCATCAATGGTCAACCTGGTGATCTTTACAACTACTCAAGCCAAGGTACCATAATTGCAATTCTATCCTTGATAAAACATTATGATATTGATGTAACAACTAAGTTTAACAATCCACGCACATAAAATGTGTTTAAACTTACCCGGTAATTAATAATTTTTATTATGATTTCTGTATGCAGACACTGTCATAGTTCCTATAGACTCTAGCAAGACGAACCTCAACCAACCTCTTTTCTTCTCCGTAGCCAACCATAAGCTCACCGTTGTTAGAGCTGATACCTCCTACACCAAACATTTCACTACCACGGTTCTCATGTTAGGGCCTGGGCAGACCACTGATGTTTTAATCACCGGTGACCAGTCACCAGCCCGGTACTACTTGGCGGCAAGTGCTTATTTCAACGCGCAAAATGCAGCATTCGACAACACCACCACCACCGCCATTCTTGATTACAAGTCTGCCCCTTGCAGCCCCAATTAACAGCCTCTTAGCATGCTCCACCACCGATTTCCCTATTGGGTGTTCACTATTTGCCTACATATTTCTCAAATAGAGGAATGTTAGCATGAATGACAAAACAATTTTACGATAGCATAAACAGTGATTTATCTCATCCTAACTACTCTACAAACACTAACATTTTTAATGCAACTACGCAAATGAAGCTTTTAATGTACAAATTTGAAATATAAGCACCAACCTCTGTGGCAATAGAGACAACACAAAACTCCTCCATTGAGTAATTGGAGACGACCACTGCATTGACTACCATTTCCCAACTGTCAGAGTCCCTGTTTTATCAAAGCACCAACCTCTATGCTAAAAAATGTCAGTAAACGTCCAGACATCAATAAAGTGTCAAATGCCAAAAATGTATCAACCTTCATGACTTAGGTACCATTTGTTCAACTTTTAATTTTAGAAAGGAAAAAAAAAAAAACAAAAAGAACGAAACAGTTATTAGCCTTGTTATCAAAAAAGGAGTTGGGGAGAACTCTCCCTTAGTGAGAGCTGTTATCAACAAGAAAAGGATCTAAAACTTGGCGAGTATGGCTTGCTGACATGGACAAAGTGCATATAGCCACCAATCGTCCAGAACCAAAGAGTCATATGAGACAGATTCCAACTATGAAATGATTGTTGCATATTCAATCCCAATACATACATAAAGAACATCCTTCATACTCAATCACATAGATTGCATTTAGTTTTATGTCAAGAGCCTAAACGTTGACAGAACGGAGGCAGAGCGTTTCACTGGTCAGAAATGAAGTGCATAACTTGTTATATTACAGAACATCAACATAAACTATGTTGGTAGCATAGGTCATAATACAAAATGACCAGACCAATATGAGGAGAGCAACTTCATAACAAAGGAAAGACGAGAAAACGGACTACACTTGCACCCTCAGACATATGGATAGTATCTAATCAGTAATTGTCTTTTCCTAATACCAAAACAAACAGGTTTTCGACATCCTCGGAAGGAAAAGTAAGTAGGAACAAGTATAATGAAGCTACACCAGCAAAAAAACATGAAAATAAAATGCATGAAAAGTTGAAAACCCATATTCTGAATTGAAAAGCAATTTGTTTCCCAGGATAAGGTGGTCTTACCTTATGAGCCTTTTTGAGTGCATTTCCATCCATGATAAGAACACCTTGCCAAGCACCTTCCCTGTTGCAACCATTACTGCCGTAGGGGTTGCTAGTCCCATGGCAAAAGGGCAAGCAACCACTAATACTGAGATATCGAATTGTAATGCCAGCTGAAATTTATCCATGCCTTTTCGTATCTAGTTTTCTAGAAAAAAACCAAGTTCTCCAGGGATGAACCATCCAAGCCATGTCAAAAATGCAACAATGACAACTTGATGTAGGAAGAAAAAAAAAATCAATCATGCAATTGAAAATTTGTCATAATACGTGGTGTACTTTGCCTCCAGCTACCAATTACCCAATTTGTCAAGCAACAAAATTCAACTTTAAACAAAATATGATTTTTGAGGCAAAAAAAAAAATACGCGAAAGTTATTGGATAAAAAGCTCAAAATCGAAAAACTGGGCAAAAGGAAAGGAAAGAAGCCAAAGACATATAAGAGAAACGAAATGACGAGAAACCTTAAAAAACAATAAGAAGAAAAGCAACGCCTAGAATATAGGGTATTGATTTTTTACATTAATAATGGCATTTTCATTAAGAAAAAGCATATCCTGCTGACAGTCAGATACAACTTCGCCAAAACATCATATGTCTTCCCTTTAACCAGAACTTCTAAGTACTTTCCCAAGAGTATATCAACATAGAACTAGTTTCAAAGAAATCTTGCCCTTCAAATTTATCCAAAGCATATGCTTACACAAGTGGAATATATTCACAGTTTTTTTGAAATTTCAGCATCAAAATAACGCAATTTTCAAATGCAACTAAGAGTAAAACAAAAAGAAAGCTAACATAAAACATACAACTTACATGATATCTTTATCTTTATAGAACAGAGACGATCAGACGATTTGTTGGGAATATTAGTGTGGTAGATGAGAAGCGGTGTTAAACCTTCAGCCTCCTGCTTTTTCCTTTACAAGTTTAAATTAATCCTCATCCGAACTACAATAATAACTCTCGCTATCCTCACTACTATCATTTCCGGATTCCCATTCATCCTCATCTTCGTTTGCCTCTCCCGGTGCATTGTATTGAGGCAGATCACCAAGGTCAATTGATATTTCGAATTCGGGAACTCCATGTACGTCAAATGGTTCTTGGACAATATTAGTATCCCGGAGTGTTTCTTCACCAATTTCTATCGAAGATGATAACTGTTGGTCAACGACGTTGTCATCGTTGTCATCATGATCTAGTTCCCGAATATCATATAGCCATCTTTGATCAATCTTCTGAACAACTTTCCAACCATTGCTAGTTTTAGGGTCGTCTAGATAGAATATTTGTTTCGCCATAGTTGCCAAAATGTAAGGGTCTTCATAGTACCAATGTCTCGTAGTGTTTACTGATAGTAAACCATGATCTCGCTTAACATTTGTTCGGTTATGTGGGTTAGTATCAAACCAAAGACACTTAAACAATATCACTTGACACCTATTTTTGTTAAGCAATTGTACTACACTAGTTAGTTTGCCATAAAAATCAATGTCTTCACTGTCGCCCGCACTCGGGACATGGACACCACTATTTTGAGTAGACACCTTGTCATCACGTGTTGCCCCCAAGAACTTGATCCCGTTGACATGACAACCCGAGAACAATTCAACATGAAGTGGTCCTCTCGCCAAGTTATATAATTCTTCATCGTAAGAGGGTGAATTCAATTCCTTCAATTTGTTCATCTAATATAACATATACAAAAAGTTAACTTGTTAGTATAACCAAATTTAAAGACAGGCATGAACAAGTTGGAAAATATGCTCAACTCAAACCACATACAACTTACATGTGTGTAAAACCACGAAGGAAACAAGTCACGGTGCTTCTTGGCATATAAATGTGAAAGATGTTCCCGCTTCATCAACAGTTCATGCTCTTCAAGGTATGTCAAAGCCTCGTCACAATTGTTGAATATGAACCAATGCGCTATCTCCATGTCATTTTTGGTAAACGATTCGCCTTTTACAGGATCGCCGAATGGTCGTGCAATTGGGGCAAAAACAGACAGTTTCTCTTTTCTGACACCACCGTCATTATTGTGTTGAGGACGATTGAAAGTTGTCTTAACATCTTGAAGATACATTGCACAAAAAGTAAGTGACTCATATGCGACCCATGCCTCCACCAGTGATCCTTCGGGCTATGCCCTGTTTCGAACACACTTTTTCAACTCACCAAGATATCTGCACAAATAAAAGGTATGCTACAAATTATTCAAAGCATTTGTTGATCATGAATATATATATATATATGAGCTTAATTAAGTACCTTTCTATTGGATACATCCATCGACAGTTCACTGGTCTGGCAAGCAATGCCTCATCTGGCAAGTGAATCATCACGTGAATCATACTTGTAAAGAAAGTTGGGGGAAATATCTGTTCAAATTTGCATAAGACGTTCACAATATCGTCCTGCAATTGTCTAACATCCGACTTCCGCAAACACCTTGCAGTCAACTGGGAAAAAAATCTCGACAACAACACGATTGGTTTCACCACATCAAGAGGCAATAAGTGTCGAATACCAACCGGAAGAAGGCGTTGGAGTATCACATGACAGTCATGACTCTTCATGTTTGAAAATTTACAACCCTTCACGTTCACGCAACGCGAGATATTGGAAGCATACCCATCCGGAAACTTTACAGAAGAAATAAAGTTGAAAAACTCTTTCTTCCCATTCGGTTTAACTGTAAAAAAAGGATGGCCTTTCTTCAATGTACAACCGACTCTCTGCATCCATAAGGATGACATAATGCCCATTCGTTCCAAATCGAGGCGAGCTTCGATTATGTCTTTTGTTTTTCCTTCAATGTCTAGAATTGTCCCCACCAAAGTATCAAACACATTTTTCTCAATATGCATAACATCTAGGTTGTGTCTCAATTTTAACTTTGACCAGTATGAGAGCTTAAATAACATACTCTTGTGCATCCAGTTCAAATGTGTAGTTGGTCTGGACTTATTGACCCTTTTGCCGAAATTACCAAATTCCAAACGATTTAACTAATCCAAAATCTCATCTCCAGACCATTATCTTGGTCTTAGCTGGGTCTCTTTTGTGTCGTGGAGGGCTTTATCATTCTGACGCCACTCGTTGTCCCAAGGGAGCCATCTACGATGACCAAGATAACAAACTTTTCTCGCATGCCAAGACGATGTTACGTTCTCCTTGCATATTGGACATGCCAAATAAGCCTTAGTCATCCACCCAGAAACCATTGCATACGCTGGAAAATCGTTTACTGTCCACATAACTGCCGCTCGCATGGTGAACATCTGCCCAGTATACTTATCGTATGTACGAACATCGTTTTCCCATAAATCTTTTAGCTCATCAACCAACGGCCACAAATAAACATCAATGGACTTTCCTGGATCTTCGCTAATTAATAGAGTCAACATCATGTATTTTTTTTCATGCACTTCCAAGGCGGCAGATTATAAGGAAACACGACGACCGGCCAAGTGCTGTGGATTTGGTTTAAAACCCCAAACGGATTAAATCCACCGGTGGCAAGTCCCAATCTAACGTTGTGCGGGTCAGCTGCAAAATCAGGGTACATCCAATCAAATTCTTTCCATGCCTCTGCATCTGCAGGATGCCTTATAACATCGTCATTTACCCGTCCTTCTTTATGCCATCTCATATCGGTAGCTGTATGCATCGACATGTACAATCGTTGCAACCTAGGCTTCAATGGAAGATAACACATTACTTTTTGTGGAATCTTGGTCTTTCTATTCTGTGATGTCATTTTAAACCTCGGCTCATTGCAGATAGGGCATTTATCCAACTGTTTGTTCTCCTTATAAAACAATATACAATTATTTACACATGCGTGAATTTTTTCATACCCCATTCCGAGACCCTTCAACACTTTTTAGGCACTTTTATGATCTTCAGGTAAACAATTCTCCTTTGGAAGCATCCTCTTGATAACTCCCAAAAAGTAATCAAAACACTTGTTTGTGATCTTGCCATGCATTAACTCCACAATTGCTGTGAACACCGAAATGTTCTCGCAACCCGAATATAATTCTTGCTTGGCATTTTTCAATAGTTTTTCATAGTTTTTAAATGCCTCACTGTCCATGGTTGGACGGTCTTCATCTCCCCCTTCCTGATTGGTGTTGCTCAAGGCGTATGGATAAACGTCATTTACAATATTCATAACTTGTTCACTAGGATCCACATTAGATTCAACAGTCTCCACTCGTGTCACATATGAAGACAAAGCTTGGTCTAATCGTTCTCCATGATGATACCAAGTAGTATAGGTCTCCATCATCCCATTTCTTACTAAATGAAATCGAACATTTTCGAATGTCTCCCACATTGAGTTGTTACACCTCCTACACGGACATCGGATATGAGTTGAACCTTGGCTGTGTCTAATGGCGAATTTAGTGAACTCTTCTATTCCATCCAAGTACTCAACATCACATCTATTATGATTATGTATCCACTGTCTGTCCATTTTGTCTGCAACCCCAATAAAAGTACAAGAGTTACAACAACTTCAACTACTGTATTGTCACCTTATTCCTCCGGTAAAGGCCTTATCCCATTTAGGAATGCATAGTTATGTGCCGTAATTTACGATTCCAATGGATTAAATTTCGACGTGGGCTAATTTCGGCAACATCTCCTTACAGTTCTTCAAGTGCACGCCGTAGATACATAATATCCACCATGTACTCGAAGAACAACAGGAAATGTTACCAAAATTTCCACTATCGAAACCTAATCTGTGAACCGCAAACTACAACACATAACTATGCATTCCCAAACTGTCCATAAAATGGGACAATTTAAGAATTAATTGGACCGCAGTCATGCTGTTGGATCCATACATGAAATCCAACTAATTCTCAAATAGGAAACTAAGCTTTTCTTGACAAAAGTGTATGAAGTTAAGTAGTATTAATTTCGTACAACACAAAACAATTTTGTACGTGATGTACAAAAATTTGTGCATACAAATAAATTAAATCCCAATAATTACTAAAGCTAAATAAAATAGATAAAATTAATAAAGATCAATTACAAATTCAATCCCAAAAAACTCTAACATGACCAAAAAAGGGCATAGCATGCAGGCAAAAGTACACAATAACAAGTATAAGGAATCTGAAGTTAGTTGCTCAAAAATTGGTGTTCATATGTGATCAGGGGAAATAATATAGCTATATAAAATAGGTTAAAATGAAAACCAAACTCTTGACCGAAATTTTAGATCTTTACAATCTTCCTTAAAATATTGCTTTTGCTTTTATATTTTTATGGTAATTTAAAAAATTTCCTATCCATGAGGATTAAAAGCTCCTTTGCACCATTAATAGATTCCGTAAATCTTCATAGAGGGCATGATATGATATGCTATAAACTGTAAAGATGAAAGGCTTGTTCATAAATTTCCAAAGAGTGTCCTGTTTGTCGACCCTTCTTGTTTCATATATCGAACTAGACAGCTATTTTATAATGTCAGTTTTGATTTATCAGTAGCCCAGTGATCATTTCGTTTAATTCAGATTGTTTGTTCATGTAATGGTATTCGACAGGTAGATTTTCTTGTGGGACACTAATATCTGTCATATGTGTGATTTTCTTGTTGGTGAAGATGCGAACCTAAAGGACGAGAAACTTTGAAACCCTTAAATCCCGCATAGGCTATGACTGGGTAGATTTAGAGTGCTTAAGTAAGTCGTATAATGTTTATATCCATTATTTGTGCCTTTTGTGAATAAGCTTTTAGCTGTTTAGTGGTTGCTTAGTTTTATTTGTTTCTGTGCATTATGTGTTCTAGGTCCTTAAGTATGTCATGCTATTGTTTTTTGTTTAATTCAGTTACACAAACTCAAAAGAGCCCATTTTGTGCAATCACCTTAATTTACCAGACTTTTTCAAATGAATTTAATTTATGATGATTTGAAGTAAACGTCATTTTAATTTCCAGTGTTGGTAGATTCGCACAAGACATGTATGCTTGTATTAGGCTATAAAATGAAAAGTTTTCCCTTCGTTCAATTTCACGTTTTTGCTCACGTTTTAATCTCTCTTCCTTGCATTGCCTCTCACGCATCAACCTCTCTTTTCTTTTCGTCTCTCAAGTTTTTCCATTTCCTTGTTTTATAAACAGAAAAATCAAAATATCAGCATATTAATTGCTATATATGCTTCAGAAAAAATTGTTTAGGACTTAAAAATAGAACCTTTCTCCTCATAATTTCTTGTTTCTCCAGCTCCTTGCGGATCCGCAACTCATGAGCTTCAACTTCTTTAGCGATTCTCGCTTCTTCACCTACAAGATGCAACTGGTTAAGTCCTTGGTTGACAAAATATACTATACTAAAGTTAACTGAACAAGTATACCTTGCGTTTCCTCTCAATTCTCAGGATAGAGTCATTAATTTGGCCTTCAGATAATACGTTAGAGTTTTCTAGTGCAGGTGCAACAACAGGGGGATCACTAAATTGAGTATTTACCCTCACGTTAGAGAAGGAGTCCCTTTGTGCCACACTACCATCATCAATAGGAGATCAAAATTTTGAATATATTAGGAATTTACCAAACTGAGTATTTACCCTTAATCATATATGCATGATAAGAACAAAACAGATCAAAATTTTCAATATATTGGGTAATATTAACAACAATTTCAATACAATCATATATATAAAAAAATGGATGAATAACATAGATGTTTTTAAATCACCTGAGTGTGATCAGGTGGCTATGAAGGTCTGCAGGTGAGGAAGAGGGGAAGGCAGCTATGGAGCTTTTGACTTGGGTTAGAACACTGGAAAGAAAGACAAAAAGGGACATTTTCGTGTTGACTTTGCGCGACGTAGTGAACCTGCGTCGCGCAAAGTTGGAAAAAAGCGGTAAAACATCCATAGTTTGGCGCCAAATCTTGCGCGACGCATACCTACGTCACTCAAAACAGGTTTGCATGACGCACTTATACCTACGTCACGCAAAGTCCTTTTTTTTTTTTTTCTTTTTTTTTACCCGTTTTGCTTATGAGTACAAAATAAATAAAATAAAATCTACTTAGTAAATACATATACCATTGAATTTGATAGGAAACACATTGTCCAAAATTAGTTTCAACGATCCAACCGTCAAACTTGTTTGTATATACTTGGAGATCCCATACGCCAAAAATCACAAAAAACAAACATGCAGAGATTAAGTAACGGGACAAACCTTTTCGACGGCTATAAACGAAAAATCACGATTTAACGGTTATATTGACTTTGATTTTGATGACTTTTTTCAGCTACACTCCTTGATCTTGTATGAATGCAAGAAACTCATTCGATCGTCGATTTCAAATATTTATACAAGTGGACACCACAAAATCTTATGTTTATACTTGATGAAAGTATAAATAAACTCCAAGTGTTAGTGAATCTAATGTTTTGATGGGATACGCATTGTACAAAACTAGTTTCAACGATCCAACCGTCAAAATTGTTTGTATATGCTTTGAGATCGTATACGCCAAAAATCACAAAAAAAAAATGTGTAGAGATAAAATAACGGGACAAACCTTTTCGACGGTTACAAACGAAAAATCACAATTTAATGGTTATATTAACTCCGATTTTGATGATTTTTTACAACTACACTCCTTGATCTTATATGAATGCAAGAAACTCATTCGATCGTCGATTTCAAAAAATTACCCAAGTGAATACCACAAAATCTTATGTTATACTTGATGAAAGTATAAATAAACTCCAAGTGTTAGTGAATCTAATGTTTTGATGGGATACGCATTGTACGAAACTAGTTTCAACGATCCAACCGTCAAACTTGTTTGTATATACTTTGAGATCGCATACGCCAAAAATTGTAAAAAACAAACGTGTAGAGATCAAACAACGGGACAAACCTTTTCGACGGCTATAAAAGAAAAATCACGATTTAACGGTTATATTAACTCCGATTTTGATGATTTTTTACAGCTACACTGTTTAACCCTATACGAATACAATGAACTGATTCGATCTTCAATTTAAAACATTTACACAAGCGGATACCACAAAAGAAAAAGGCAATGCAAGAACCCCAAAAGAAAAAGGAAAAGGTCACAAAAAAAGAAAAGGACTTTGCGCGACGTAGGTACAATTATGTCGCGCAAAGTCCTTTCTTTTTTTTTTTTTTTTACCCGTTTTGCTTATAAGTACAAAATAAATAAATTAAAATCTACTTAGTAAATACATATACCATTGAATTTGTTAGGAAACGCATTGTACGAAACTAATTTCAAACATCCAACCGTCAAACTTGTTCATATATACATGGAGATCCCATACACCAAAAATCGCAAGCAACAAACATGCAGAGATTAAGTAACGGGACAAAGCTTTTCGACGGCTATAAACGAAAAATCACGATTTAACGGTTATATTAACTCCGATTTTGATGATTTTTTACAACAACACTCATTGATCCTATATGAATACAACAAACTGATTCGATCTTCAATTTAAAATATTTACAAAAGTGGATACCACAAAATATTATGTTATACTTAATGAAAGTATAAATAAACTCCAAGTGCTAGTGAATCTAATGTTTTGATGGGATGCGCATTGTACGAAACTAGTTTCAACGATCCAACCGTCAAACTTGTTTGTATATGCTTTGAGATCGCATATGCCAAAAATTGTAAAAAACAAACGTGTAGAGATCAAACAACGGGACAAACCTTTTCGACGGCTATAAACGAAAAATCATGATTTAACGGTTATATTAACTTCGATTTTGATGATTTTTTACAGCTACACTCCTTGATCTTGTATGAATGCAAGAAACTCATTCGATCCTCGATTTCAAATATTTACACAAGTGGATACCACAAAATCTTATGTTATACTTGATGAAAGTATAAATAAACTCCAAGTGTTAGTGAATCTAATGTTTTGATGGGATACGCATTGTACAAAACTAGTTTCAATGATCCAACCGTCAAACTTGTTTGTATATGCTTTGAGATCGCATACGCCAAAAATTGTAAAAAACAAATGTGTAGAGATCAAACAACGGGACAAACCTTTTCGACGGCTATAAACGAAAAATTACGATTTAACGGTTATATTAACTCCGATTTTGATGATTTTTTACAGCTACACTGTTTAACTCTATACGAATACAATGAACTGATTCGATCTTCAATTTAAAACAATTACACAAGTGGATACCACAAAACAAAAAGGCAATGCAGGAACCCCAAAAGAAAAAGGAAAAGGTCACAAAAAAAGAAAAGGACTTTGCGCGACGTAGGTACAATTATGTCACGCAAGCCTGTTTTGCGCGACGCAGTCATACCTACGTCGTGCAAAGTCCGTTTTTTTTTTTTTTTTTTACTACCCGTTTTGCTTATAAGTACAAAATAAATAAATTAAAATCTATTTAGTAAATACATATACCATTGATTTTGATAGGAAACGCATTGTACAAAATCAATTTCAAAGATCCAACCGTCAAACTTGTTTGTATATACTTGGAGATCCCATACGCCAAAAATCGCAAAAAACAAACATGCAGAGATTAAGAAATGGGACAAACCTTTTCGACGGCTATAAACGAAAAATCACGATTTAACGGTTATATTAACTCCGATTTTGATGAATTTTTACAACAACACTCATTGATCCTACATGAATACAACAAACTAATTCGATCTTCAATTTAAAATATTTACAAAAGTGGATACCACAAAATATTATGTTATACTTAATGAAAGTATAAATAAACTCCAAGTGTTAGTGAATCTAATATTTTGATGGGATGTGCATTGTACGAAACTAGTTTCAATGATCCAACCGTCAAACTTGTTTGTATATGCTTTGAGATCGCAAACACCAAAAATTGTAAAAAACAAACGTGTAGAGATCATACAACGGGACAAACCTTTTCGACGACTATAAACGAAAAATCACGATTTAACAGTTATATCAACTCCGATTTTGATGATTTTTTTACAGCTACACTCCTTGATCTTGTATGAATGCAAGAAACTGATTCGATTGTCGATTTCAAATATTTACAGAAGTGGATACCACAAAATCTTATGTTATACTTGATGAAAGTATAAATAAACTCCAAGTGTTAGTGAATCTAATGTTTTGATGGGATATGCATTGTACAAAACTAGTTTCAACGATCCAACCGTCAAACTTGTATATGCTTTCAGATTGCATACGCCAAAAATTGCAAAAATAAAACGTGTAGAGATCAAATAACGGGACAAACCTTTTCGACGGTTATAAACGAAAAATCACAATTGAACGGTTATATTAACTCCGATTTTGATGATTTTTTACAGCTACACTCCTTGATCTTATATGAATGGAAGAAACTCATTCGATCGTCGATTTCAAATATTTACCCAAGTGGATACCACAAAATATTATGTTATACTTGATGAAAGTATAAATAAACTCCAAGTGTTAGTGAATCTAATGTTTTGATGGGATACGCATTGTACGAAACTAGTTTGAACGATACAACCGTCAAACTTGTTTGTATATACTTTGAGATCGCATCCGCCAAAAATTGTAATAAAAAAACGTGTAGAGATCAAACAACGGGACAAACATTTTCGACGGCTATAAACGAAAAATCATGATTTAACGGTTATATTAACTCCGATTTTGATGATTTTTTACAACGACACTCATTGATCCTATATGAATACAACAAACTGATTCGATCTTCAATTTAAAATATTTACAAAAGTGGATACCACAAAAGAAAAAGGCAATGCAAGAACCCGAAAGAAAAGGAAAAGGTCAAAAAAAAAAAAAGGACTTTGCGCAACGTAGGTACAATTACGTCGCGCAAGCCTGTTTTGCGCGACGCAGTCGTATGTACGTTGCACAAAGTCCTTTTTTTTTTTTTTTTTTTTTTTTTACCCGTTTTGCTTATAAGTACAAAATAAATAAATTAAAATCTACTTAGTAAATACATATACCATTGAATTTGATAGGAAACGCATTGTACAAAACTAATTTCAAAGATCCAATCGTCAAACTTGTTTGTATATACTTGGAGATCCCATACGACAAAAATCGCAAAAAACAAACATGCAGAGATTAAGTAACGGGACAAACCTTTTCGACGGCTATAAACGAAAAATCACGATTTAACAGTTATATTAGCTCTGATTTTGTTGATTTTTTACAACAACACTCATTGACCCTATATGAATACAACAAACTGATTCGATCTTCAATTTAAAATATTTACAAAAGTGGGTACCACAAAAGAAAAAGGCAATGCAAGAACCCCGAAAGAAAAGGAAAAGGTCAAAAAAACAAAAAAATGACTTTGCGCGACGTAGGTACAATTACGTCGCGCAAGCCTGTTTTGCGCGACGCAGTCGTACGTACGTTGCGCAAAGTCCTTTTTTTTTTTTTTACCCGTTTTGCTTATAAGTACAAAATAAATAAATTAAAA